GACATCATCGTATAACTTCATCAAGTAACACTTATAAGGATATTTGTACTGCATTCTCAGAAGGATTTTTGTTGTCAGTCATTCTATGGATGTTCTTCTGAAAATTAGAGATGTGTTGAAAGCTGTTCATGAGCAGTGATGAAGAGCTGTGTTGAAAATCTCTTGAAAGTTCTGTTAACTCTTTGAGGGGCAGGAACAGGCAATTAACTTTTTCAGCAAAACTTTTGTTTTATTTACTATATGTTATTATTTACTATATGCTACTATATAAGTGTTACAATGAAATTATTTGCGACAATTACGCATATTTTGCACAAGACGCGTGGGAAAAAAATGACCATTTCTGGTGGTTAGTCTCAGTTACCACCGCCCACAGAACACATCCCTACAAATCAGTCTCTATAGTACTCATGTAAACAGTTTTTCTTTTCAAGCAAGTGCAACTTTGCCTTGCTGCTTCCCACACTGTTCTTACAGGCTTTTCTGGCGCTGCACTGCACATATCGTGATTTGTCTTCGATGCTGATGCTTATTTTTTGAATGAGTTGCTGCATCAACTACTGGTTTGTTTCTTATTGCCATCTAGTGACTAGAGGACTCGACAACGTCAGCATCGAAAACCACTCACACGAGTAACAGCTGTGATTTGAGCTGTTAAGGGCCCTTCCCTCTGAGGTTTATCTGAGCTAACGGAGACAACTAACGTAGCCGACCCATCTCCAAAACCAGTTTTTTCCCCATTGGGCAGCAAGTTGAAAAATTTGAACTGCAGGCATAGCGGAGCTAGCTGACTCAGGGAACTGATTCCGTTAGCTCAAATAAGCCCCAGTGGGAACGGCCCTTTATAGATCTGCGTTAAAAGTTGTGTTGAAGAGCTGTGTTAAAAGCTCTGTTTCAAGTTGTGATTAGATCTGTGATTGAGCTGTCTTTTAAGCTGGATAAGCTGTTTGAGATATGACACTTTTTTTTAAACATTTAAAATACTTTTTTCTAAAATTATACATCATAAATGCCTACATCACTAATATATTTTCTTAAACATTAAACCAGGTTTAAACAGTTATATTAATAGCTTTTCATCAGTATAAATTCAAAGAATGTATAAAATTTACTTAGGTCAATATTGCGGGAAAAGATCCTGAATCCTGGCGACTCACCATTTTCAAGAAATTGTTTTACATAAATTGGTACTATTATCTGGATGAAGATAGTATTAAAGGAAATTTAGTAAATATCCGTAAGTATGAAATTTGAATTTCGCTTTTATTACAAGTTATAATAAAGCTAATAATAATAACATGGGTAGTATTTAGAATCACAGTTAAACTTATATAAAAGTGGCATGATAACTACTATCCAGAAATTATAACCACTATATTTGTTGAATAAATAATTATGTTACAATTTACGCATGTGAAACAAAGGACATTCACACATAACCGGTGTCAAAAAGAATGTTAAAAGATAATACCTTTAAATGTAGTAACATGAAAGTGACGCTTGATTCTCTTCTGATGAAATATCTTACTTCGTACAGGTATATATTAGTTTAAAGTGTTAAACTACTAAATGCTTTTTAATTTGTCAATTCAATTTACACTAGATTTCGGTTAGAATATTTCAAAAAACCTCTGAATTTTGTTTTGAGGTTAGAAGATATTGAAAATAAACTGAGCTGCCAATAAGTTTGCAAGCTAATATGCCAAAGAAATTGCCATTAAAATTTCAAAAGTTTTAAAAAATTGTAAAAAACATAGAACATCTAATGAAAAATTCCTATTTGTACACAAAATTTCACCTCAACACTTAAAACAATGCTTAAGTGTTACGGCGTTACTATAGGCTTACTATTTTGAGAATAACCCCCGAAATTAAGGTAAGAAATATTAAAATCTTACATTTAAAATGAGCTGTTCGAAATGAAAAGTCAAATATTAGGAAAAAAAAGTCTCATGTGGACATTGCATGACTTCCTTGTACGAATTATTAAATTATATACATTTTTGCTACCTTCATTTAAACTTGCTAAACGAAATATTCTAACTTAAATATCCGATCGCACGCGTTAAGTTGAAAAAGAAATCAAAAATAGCAAATTTTAAAGTTAAATATCCCGGTTCATTTTTGTTGTACGGGATTCAACTTCTTGTATTTTTATTATTTCATACCGAGTATAAAACTTTCTCAAGTATAATTTAGGACCCAGGAGACCGCATTAAAAATTAGATTTCTTTCTTTCACCAACATTTTTTTAAAATCTGACATTGCCAAAACATGAATATTTTCGCCATTTAAAACACTTCTGTAACTAGAAGTATATGACTACGACCAACGATTGCGAAACTAAAAGCCAGGTCAGGACTTTTAAGCCCGGTAACAGGGTCGGGTATATATATGTATATAATTAGCACTAACAATTTTAAATATAAAGAGAGGTGCACAACTAGACGTAACAGCAGCCCAATATAAAAAATTTTAACGTTCTTACAGCTAATCGTTTTTGTGTTATGCGAGATACATTCGTACCCACGTACAGACGTCACAATAAAATTCATTTTGAATCCGTTTTGGGAAAAATAGTCATTTGGTCTGTCCGTACCTGCAGCCATCACAGAAAAAAAAAATGCTCAAAATGGGTTCGGGAAAGGTCAAAGTGGATCTCCTTTGAAAACTGATAATCGAAATTTTTGGCGATTATAATACTTCCTTTACATTCACAAGGAAGTAAAAATGCCTATTATTATTTCCTCGCAAGTCAACGCCAAGTAGAAACTTATGCACTTATTAAATAAAGAAAAGTCTTAATTCTCCAAGACGTACTACATTTACTTCACGGAGTCGCTTCGGAAGAGGCTGCTTTATTCTAACAAGGCACAAAATTCACTTCCTAGGAATAACAAGTACTTCTTTTAATTAAAAAAATTACTTCAATTCTTTGTGGGGTTCCAATCTTTTCTCTTACAGCTAAGTGTGTAGGAACCTTGTGAAATGGTAAGGGAATCAATAGTTCAAGAACATAGACGTAAACTCAAGATGAGTTAATTACCCTTTATTTCTCAAAATAAGAATTTAACAGTCGGCTCCTTTCTTAGAGCGTACAGAAAAGCCTCTACTTGGGCTTGAACTCAAAAATGCTTTAAAAAAAAACTTAACTAATGCTTATCTAAAACGATATAGCCGAAACTATCAAAATTCTAAGCATTTGTCCCCTAAATATCAACTAAGCTGGCGAAGCTGTCAAAGAGCCTGAAATACGGCCGAGAGTACTAATAGCTTAGAAAGAGTCTAGCCACAAGGCAAACGCGTGCTAGTCAGAATCTCTGGCTCTCTAACGAAGTCGGTAGAACTTCGACTTAAATACCGCTCTTCCTCACTTGCATTAACCGCGATTCTAGAAAAACATTCTGGTGGGAAATTATAAGCTGAAATTAGGAGGGATATGAAAGTAGCTTTAACTAAACTATTAAAAACTTAGGACAAACCTTACATCTTTATAACTGGAGCATTATACTATTGACACCATGCCAAAACCACGAATCTGTAAAATCATTGTTTTCTTGAAAGCATGCTTAATGGTTTGACATGCACTTGATTTTTGAGAAAAGCATGGTTATGCCGTTTAAGCTTTTATAATCATCTCAGTAAAAAGGTTTTTTTAATAATGTAAAACATCTAAATAAATTGTAAGGTTTATCTTATTTTATCTAACTGCTAATTTTGAGTTTTACTTTCCTGTCTCTCCTTAATTTAAGCTTACAACTTCCGGCCAGAACTTATTTTCAGAATCGCGGTTGAATGCAAATGAGGAGATGAGAAGTATTTAACTGTGAAGTTTTACTGACTTCGTTAGAGAGCCAGAGATTCTGATCAGCGCGCGTTAGCCTTTTGGCGAATGCTCTCTCTAAAGCTATTTTTTACAATCGGCCGTACTTTAGGCCCTTGATAGCTTCGCCGTTAGTTAGCGTTAAGGGGTCAACTCTGTTAGAATCTTGATAGCTTCGGCTATAGCTTTTTAATTTAGTAAGTTTTTAGTTTAGTTTATTTCTTAGTTTCCTGAGTTCAAGCCTGAGTGGAGGCTTTATTCTAAACTCCAAGAAAGGAGTCAGCTGTTAAACTTTGTTTGGACTAATAAAGGGTAATTAACTCTTCGTACGTTTACGTTTCTATCTCTCTGAACTAAGCGATTATTCGCTTATCAGTTCTCAACGCTCCAGACACATTGCAGTACATTCAGAGTTTGGAATTTACGAAGTCTGAGAAACACGAAGCTAATAACAGCAAAAAAATGCAATTTGTGATTTTTGACGACGATGTAAAATATAGTATATTTTCTTTATTTATATTTGTATTTCTAAATTTTCATCATTTCCAGTGAGAGACTATCTGAGCCATCACCTAAATCTGGACTATATTGGAAATCTCGAAGGTCATATCGTGAAAGTCTTCATTCCGTCGTCGTACCACACGAAGGCTGTCTCCAAAATAGTACCTGTTCCAGTAGGATTTGAAATAACCAATCCTTTGCTTCTGTCACTGAAAATTAAAGCAAAGAAAGCCGAAATAGAATCACCACAGGGACTAAGCTACAGCCTTTCTGTTAGGCCTAGGTAAGTGGTGGCTGGCTTATTAACTGAGAAACTCAATTAAAATAATTTGCTAATTCGTTTATTTTATTAATTTTGTGTTTACCTGGGTCGTCAGGAAAATCAAACATTTATCTAGTGCAACAAAAATTGAAATTAAATCAGCTTTGAAAATTTCTCCAACTTGGTTCAACACAAAGAGCAAGATAAGGGTAATGCCATACACGCAACGAAATTATGATTAATTTTTCTTTTCATTTAAGTGTATTTTTAAATATACTAAAACATTCCATCATACATTACAGTACGTAATATTGCAACTGTGAGTGAAGGGAAAACGCAACCAAGAAAAGAATATGTAAGGAATAAAATAATGTATGGCCACAGTAACTTTCAAAATTTTATGAAAATTAACGTCGTTGAAAATTTTTGGAAAATAATTTAGTAATTTAATATTCCAAATTCCATTTTAATATTTAAAAGTTATTTAAAAAACTGGCATTCTTGTAGTTTTTAACATATGGATCTACAAAGGAAAAAAAAATCTAATTATTGCACAACAGGTTAGATTTATTTATATATTGATATGGTATGCAAATGAAACAAGAATGATAAGAATTTTGAGAAATGAAGTGGAAATCATCCGAAAGTTTCATTTTCCTTTTAATCAAAAGTAACCAGAAAACTGCCACCAATGAAATTAAATGTTTCGGTTTCGCTTTGAATTTAAAAAAAAATCTGATGGTTACACCACATGACATCCTTGCACGGAATATTAAATTATACGCATTTTTCCTGCATTTCCATTAAACGTATTGAATAGAATTAAATCGACTTCGTCGATAGTGCATAAACCACAATAGAATTAATGCACTCTAAAATTCACTGTATTTATTTACCATAGCGACACTCATTTAACAGCGATACATCTCATTCATCTTATAACTCAGAATGCGCAAAAATTATATCATCTTAAGAATTATCGAATCGTTGCCACCTGTTCTATTCACATATTATAATAAATCTGAAACGATGTATAAATTAGGCAAATAAAAAAGAAACAGTTGTTGTTGGGAAGCTTAGTTTCTTTAGATTGGCAACAAATCGACTATTCTCCTAAGTTTCGAATGTAAGAAAATACGGCTGCTATGTTAAAAAAATCAGGCTTAGCCGCCCTTACACAACATTTAAATTGTTGATAATTCTACAAATATTGCATGCAGGTTAACTGCATGCAATAGTTGTAGTATGTATATGCATGTAAAATTATTGTTCTTATCTTCCGGCTAAGGCATAAAAACCTTAACCGGAAGATAAGAACAATAATTTTGCTTAAAAAATGAATAATTGCTTTAACTTGCTTTAAAAATGATTAATTCAATCATTTTTAAAGCAAAAAATGCACAATTTACCAACATATAAGAATAAAAAACTGAGCTCACGGAGCCGAGTAACAAAGTAGGTATATGTATACATATATATATTTATTTACTTTTGGCGCGGTCGATTGCAACCAAAAAGGGAGGTGTACAACTACATCCTATAGCTGTTAAAATTTTAATGTTCTGAGGCTACTCTTTTCTGAGTTATGGGAGATACATGCATACATACTACATGCATACCTAAATAACGTACATGCATACCTAAATAACGTACGTACAGAAGCCACAAAAAAAAATCTCTTTTGAATCCATTTTAAAACAGTTTTATAATTTTTTTGGGGGAAAAGTGTCCTTTATTCTGTCCATACGTACAGATGTCACGCAAAAAACATCGTTAAATTGCATTCGATAGCGGTCAAAATGGATATTTTCGTTGAAATACGGTACCTGAAATTTTTCGTCATTATAATACTTCCTTTACTTCGTACAAGGAAGTAAAAAGAACGAACACAACATATAAAGCCATTAAATATACCTGAGATAGAGTAAGTGATAGCAATTAAAATATCACATAATACATTATACAGTGAATTTTATATAAAAGAAAAAATTTTCCAAAAAAATAAGCTAATATCATTAAACCGTAAAGCTCGTTTCCTTTTCAGTGTGCACCATTCAATTTTGCATTCCAACCAAATCTTGGATCTGCACGATTGTAAGCACATCGGAGTCTACCACGAGAAGAAAATTTCAGCCTCTTATCCAATCGAGCTAAAACTGGCAATCTCAAAGCATGGCAATTTGAGCCTGGCATATAGCTTTCCCGAACTTCCAAAGAAGATTCTGTCATACCATTCCGAATCTGGAACTTATGCAGCAAAATGGGACGGTGAAACTCCTCTCAGTTTGAAACCAAGAAAGAGTATTCAGACTATCCCCATTCAGTTCAAAGTAAGATACTTCCTCGTTACCTTTTTGTGATTGAAATACTTCTGTAGAACTTTAGTCTTAGAAAATAAGTTTCATAGCAAACTTGATTACAAGACTTTAAGAAATTTACTTGCAAATTTTGAGCTTTGAGTTTAGGGATACCTGTTTCTGGAAACTGATAGCTTCGTAAAGTTCGGGGTGTAATAACGGATGTTAAAATTCGATTTCGAAGTGGTTTTTTTTTTATTTTTATTTTTATTTTTATTTTTTTTTGGGGGGGGGTTGTAAGTTAAGGTACTATTATAACTAATGTAACCGAGCCTAACATAAATTATGCGAATTTTTAGAAACTGAATATGTATAGAACCTAACTACTCAAATTTTAAATTCTGGCGCGTTAAGACAGTCAAAAACTTATTCACTGTGCCCTGATCCTTGTGTAAAGTAATATCAAGCCTGGAAAAGATTTAGATTTACACACTTCTTGTAATAGAAGACCTTCGCTACTTGCGAGGTTAACAGAACATAAGAGTAAAGTCAACCGTAAGTTTTGGATGATCCGCACGATTTACCCTAGCAAAAACCGTTAGCAAATACTAAAGTCGAATTCACGTAAATTTAGAAATTTGGCAAAGATGGTAATTGAACGATCAGCGGCCGCTATAATTTTGGCGGCAGAAAAATTGAAAGTGCGATTTTCGGACCAACAATGTTGAGCAACAGAAGACTTCTGTGTTTCCTTTTTTCTAACATATGCCTCATGTTCCTTGACGCGAAATTTTAAGGTTCTCTTAGTTTGGCCAATGTAAATTAAACCACACTGGCAAGGAATCCTATAAATACCCCAGGAATTCATATCCGGAATGGGGTCCTTGAGGTAATACACGTAATACATCCAACTTCAGTACTACGGTTTTACGTAAACCTTTATCGGTTTGCCTTCACCCACTTTAAATCATGTCATCCGACTAAACAAAAGTTAGCTTCATTTTTCCTAGTTTTCCGTGCTCTTCAAGTTTACTCCTCCAAACTAGCCCTGATGAAGAACCTAATTATTTAAAAGCAATAGCTATTGAAGAGGCTTTTACCCAATATTATTAATCAAGCAGTTAAAAAATTCTCATCTCAACACTAAAAGGCACATTATTGTTTAGGAGATTAAAAATTCTGTTGTCATTCCTTTCTTTCCATCCATAGCTATAAAGTTGCACATATTTTGCAGAAATTTAATTTTCGGGTGTTTATTCTCCATCAATAAAATTCCGAGTTCCATACTCAAGGACCCATTCCGGATATGAATTCCTGGGGTATTTATAGGATTCCTGCCAGTGTGGTTTAATTTACATGGCCAAACTAAGAGAGCCTTAAAATTTCGCGTCAAGGAAAATGAGGATGTGTTAAAAAAAAAAAAAACAGAAGTTTCTGTTGCTCAACATTGTTGGTCCGAAAATCACACTTTCAATTTTCTGCTACCAAAATTATTCAAAAACATCTTCCATTGGAGAACGGATTTTCTGAGTCATTTCACATCATAAAAATCTTTCTGTTCTGGTTAACGATCCTAATTCCATCCAACTTTGCCTTCGGCCTTTAAAGGAATTATGTTTTAGTTCTGAATTCACCAACAGATGGCGCCACTTGCTTATTCTTGTCCAGGCTTTCTTATCTTATCTAATCATTATTTCCTATCTTGTTCATTTGCGGTTAAACAGCTGAGGATGGTGGTTCGGTAAAACCATCGAAACTAGTCCTGTGAAAATTTTGTAAATATAACGCTGATATTTGTTGTTTGACTTCTGAATTAGCATTCATTTGTTAGCCGAGAATTTGAAACGTTCAAGCTTTCTTCGTGGGCGAAGTTGCATTTGAAATATGAGCCAGTTTACTCAAAAAAGTTTAGATAGCTGTTGAGCGCTTTCCCAAGCTCAGTTAAAAAACAAAAAAGGAAATAAAAGAAAGCTCTGAAAAGTTTCAGATTTTAACGGTCGCCCAAAAAGGGTTTGTTAAGGTTTTTTCTCGCCTACCGCTCTATTTACTCCTGCAAACCTATTTGTTTTTCTCTTTTTAGCTTTATTATGAAGCATCATTTTCTTTGCCCTTATGCCAAATACAATTCAACAGCAAAAGTGAAAAAATTTGAAAAGCAACCCATATTTAGAATTCCCAGTGTAGTGCTGGCATAGATTTTTATATATTTTACAGTCTTTTCTCAGTTCATCGTATCAATGTTCAGTTTTCTTAGTAAGGTGACTTGTAAAGCTCTTTTTATTTGTCTTTTTTGTATTAACGTTTTGTGTGTTACATTTATTTATTTTATATTATGTTCTTCGCACTTACCCCACGTACGATTCAATTCAACCGAAAAATAACAAACTATTTAAAAACATCATATCTTTATGATTTCCGATATACAGGCTCACGTGGAGAAATTATTTCATTTCGTATAACGCTGTCACCGATCGCTTACAAATTGTTGAGTCTGTTAAACAAAAATTCACTGAAGTCTTACAAAATATAAAATATAAAATTTCGAATTCGGGCTTCCAGATGCACATGTTCAGGTGGAAAACTATATTATTCAAAATTTCATGGCTCTAGGTACCACAATTTTTTTCACTATTCGAGGACATACATACAGATACATAAATCTGTGTAAATACATACATACAGATTCTTCATTATTTAGTTTCTTTAAAATAATACAGGGCAATGATATTTGGTGGCAGCAATTTGAAAAGTGATTCTCTATTTATAATGGACGAAGCAAAATCCGGTTTCGAGACCCGTTTTGAAACAGACTAATATTAAGTCTGGAATATTAGCCTATTTGGGCTAACGCCGTTTTGGACTAATAATATGTTAAAAGGCTCGAAACTTGTTGAAGCTACTCGAAACTAGCTAAGTTGAACTATCTTAAATAGCAAAGCCTTAAAATGGCTGCCAAGAGATGTGGTGAAATAACATGACTTACCACGAATTTGCTCATAGACAAGCGCAAAGCTGCAATTTACTATAGGAATTTAAATAACAGACAAAATATGAAATTAGTTTTTATGTATAACTATCTATCTCAACGCGCTGTGTATCTCCTTAAATGCACTACAAACTTGCAAACTTCTAGATTACGTTAGATTGAAACCAAAAGTAACAAAAAATAGTTCAAATTAAGCAAATATTTGCTTAGTTACACTTCCATCTTCTAAATACAACCTAATAATATTGAAAATTAATAATTTTCGCTTACCTTTCCATTGCTTCCTTAATTCATTAACTCTCAAATTCGGTATCAATAAATAATCATATTTCAGATATGCTTTTTCGAAATATACACGCTTACATTTGGAAATTTTCAAAATTTAAAACTTCCTTCAGTTTTGGAATTTAAAAAAAAAAGTTTTCTTGAAATTATAAATACTGTTAGTTTGAGAATACTATTTTAGATGACAAGCTAATATTATCATAAAATGTGTACCCCCTTATCGATTTCAGAGCACAGTTTTTCTGCTTCCATTACATTTAATGCATATAACTAACTTTTGTACTATTTAAATTGAGCTAAAGCATTTTTAATCTTACAGAGAGAAAAAGAAATTGGTGTCCTTGGACTTCCAAAATTTCATGTAAAAGTTTTAACAGAAGATATCAAAGAAGGCAGGGAAGAAATACCTCGAAATCAGCAGGACCTCGCACGCTTGCTGATAAGGAAGTTGCTCAACGCTGGATGGAGGAAGAAAACAGTAGAGATTGAGAGAGTTGCTGATTCCAAATTGTGGCCTTCCAGAGCAGAGGTAAAAATAACACACATATAAAATGAAATAATTCAGATAAAAGTTTTTCGACCGAACATTCAATCTAGGACTTCGCAATCTCTTATTTTAAATCTTAAATTGCTATATTTTATATTTACAGGTGCAGCTCAATGTCAGTATCGAGCAAAACTTCGTTGAACAGTCAATATTAGTTAGGGATGAAGACTGGGCCAAGAAGGTGAACCTCCGAGATAAGTTGGAAGCCAAAAATCCCAAGGATTATCCTGAGGAAGCCAAAGTTTTAGTGAAACTGTTAGATGAAGAGATTTCCCATATGAATGAAACACTTATCATCGACTTGGTACAGATTAGCAATGGAAGAATTGTCTTTGCCCTTCATCTGAATGCATCTTACCGGTATACCTTTGGAGGATGTCTACAACACCTCCATGTGAATACCGATCTCAAACAACACAGGCATTCAAAACGTAATGAAGTAAGCTAAAATCTGATCTTTTAAATCATAATCAAAAACGTTTAACTGGTTGCAATACAGTCTTATTATCTTTACAAGATCAACTGTCAATAGGACAGAAAAACTTATTACTTTTTGCATGCGTCTTAAACAAAATATATGTAAGTCTCTAATAATCAGACTGGATCGAATGTAAAGTAATAAACAGAAAGCATTATTCCACACAACGTTTATTGACGAACACCAAAGACGAACTGATACATATACATAATTATGACACCACAGTTTCTTTTTACAAACACTACCGCCATCTATTGGCAATCTAAGGATACATAGTCATAAACTTAACACATCTATCGTGAAACTATTCTATTCTGAAATACACTGATGGCCATTAAAATTGCAACACCATGACGGAGAGGAAATACAAAGAAGATATTTATTGTAACTAAACAGTATGGCATGAAGACAAAATGATTAAATTTTTAAGCGTTTTGGGGGGATTACAGAGGTGCGAAATTAGTAGAAACAACTGCTAACCCTGGTAGCTAAAATGGCCCTTACACGGTTAGGCATGGAGTCGAATTGGGCTTGGATGACAGAAACGGGAAACTCATTCCATGCTGCTTCAAGTCTATGCCACACTTCATCATCGATATTAGCTGGAGAGGGCAGCTAATAGTCTCTCAGCAACCCCTGACTAGATGTTTTCAATGGGGATATATCTAAAGACTGAGCAGGCCAGGGCAGCAATCGAATACCCTGTGTATCTACGAAGACGACGTGCAACACGACGTGCAACATGTGGTCTTGCATTATCTTGTTGGATGATGGCGTTTGGCAGGTCTCGAAGATAGGGCACAACCACTGGACGTAAGATGTCAGAAATGTACCAATCTGGGTTCAGATTACAGTGGATATGAATTAGAGATGTGAGTGTCGTGTACCCAATGGCTGCTCAAACCGTCACGCCAGGTGCAGGGCCTCGATGCCGATACTGAATGCAAGCAGGCGACAGGTGGTCTCCTCGGAGTCCCCAGACACGTATAGGGCCATCAGAATACTGTACACAGAACCGGGACTCGTCTGAAAACACAACATTATGTAACTCCTGTATCCAGCTTTGTCATTCGGGGCACCAGGGTTGCCGTCTCTCTCTATGCTGCATTGTCAAGGGAAGCTGAAGTAATGGTCGCAGTGCTGATGGTCCACGCTGCTACAGACATCGATGCACCATACGAGCGGATAACTAAGCATGTTCATTTCCTGACTAAAGATTCGTGATATGGTTGTACGGTTTTGCAAGGCTGACCTTACAGTATGGGTGTCCTCTCGGGCGTTAATCATGGGAAAGCGTTGAGATCTTGCATACCATTCAGTACGACCCATTGATTCTATATTCGCATGACAATGGTTGGATGTTGACAAGAGCGACGGCTTACATCACGGAACGATAATGCGCACTTTCGATAGGCGACCATCCTGCCTTTATTGAATTCCGACAGTTCTGGTATCACTGAATGCTAGGATTTCGAGCCGGGTTCGATTCCAGACGCTCTTCGGACCTTTCCCCGAGCTGTTCTCCCTCACAGGTGGACCGAAGCTGCATAATTAGTGCAATTTATGCAATTTCACTCCTGTATTACCTGTACCAGTTTCTCTCCTGTACCGGACTTTACCTGTACGACCAATGGTGAAATTATGGTTTCTCGCCCACTTCTCCTGAACATGTTCGATCCCAGACAACAGATTGTCTGCATGGTTGGTTTCCGTGGTTATCCCCTCATGTAACGTGAATACGAATTAGTTATCCTTAAAAAGTACTCTACCTTCCCCAAGGCAGATAACCATCGTATACTTTGCCATATTAAAATAACCTAATCTAATTTAAACAAGCTATTCAACCGGTATAGTGGTTAGTGTCTCTGACTGCCGTGCCGAGGGCCCCGATTTTGAGTCCCGGAGAAGGCATGTATGTTTGTAAATGTATCTATGTGGCGTAGCGGCACTCTAAATATGCGGCAAGCCGAAATTCTACTCGTGTGGCTTGGTGGAAGGGCATACGGGGGAGACCTTCGGATACATCACAACCGGGGCATCAAAACTGGGGGCGGAACTGAGCTAAATCGCACTGTCACGTATATGGTGCTCGAGGTTGTTCCCAACGACAGGCGTATCTTGGGCTCCTTGCCACGAGGAATTTCGTGAACTTGGGCTGATACTACTGTCAGACAAGTGCGCTTAAGTAACAATAACAACAACAATCTAAACAAACTCGAGTAAGTTGATCAGAACAATCGGAACCTTCGTACACAGTTAATTTTCTCTGTTAATTAAACTTCTTGGGTGAGCTTTACATTTGCATGAGAGCTTGAACGAAAGTTTTTGAGATGAATCAAGGCAACGAAGAACAGCGCTTCACTCAGCTGAACTGTTAGTAAAACTGAAATAAAATTTCTTTCTAAGAAATTTTGTGGTTTTTAAATTAAAGCATAATTTTAATAAATAAAGTTTCATCATTTTCTCTTATATATATAATTATAATATTAAAAGGTTTCCAAACTTCATGCTTATTGAAACTATCAGCACCAGCTTAAAATTATAGCACACTTTATGAACTAAGAATATAAAATGGTTAGCCAATTGTTCACCAGTTCTGGCTACTAAGTGTGGTAGGGCGAGGAGGTACTCTTTGAGAATTATTCAATTTCATTACATTCTATTTAGCACTGAATATGATATTAAATATTTGATATGATTTATATTAGCACTGAAGACACAGACTTATGTTCAAGCACATTCCATAACACAGAAAAAAATATTTCTCTCTGGAGTCTAAATATTGCTTCGCATTTCTCCCATAGGCTAGTTTAGACTTCTTTGTGGCTTTCTTGAAAAGACCTCATGAGTTCAGCTACGACAGGGAACATTTCGGAAAGCAGAAGGCAGTGGCTTATGCTTCTCTGTCACTACCCAAGTCAGATGCTTTCGAAAATGCAACATTCTCTGCTAAGGTAAGTGATTACTTTAAATTATATTCATAAGTTTGCAAATGTGCATAATTATGAATTTAAACAGTATGGTATACATGATCACCATTATTTTAATTAAAACAAATAAAAAGTATGGAATCGAAATTTTCATAAGATTTCAGATTTAATTATAGGTCTTAAAGCCCTTTATCAAAAGTGCAATAATTGGCCATTTCGTATAAATACGATGTTTATAAATTTATCAAAATGTCTTGAAATCCTAATTAGCCAATTCGGATAAAACACGTACGCAAGCAGGAAATATATATTTTTAATGAAATCTTAGTTTAATTTACCTTTGAATCTTGTTAATACAGTACTTTCTTAAAATTAATAAACATATTAAGAGATATAATAATAAATCAACTTTTTTATTATGAATAATTGTATAGCGATATAAAATTGCTTACAGAAGCAATTTAATACAATTCAGGGTGAGAGGAATTTGCTGAAATGTAAATGTCAACAGATCATCTGCCCCTTTAAATAACGAGAACTTAGAACTATTTTTTTACCATAACTTTGGTTTTATAGCTAATGTTTATACGGCGTTTGTTTTAAAGTATCTGCAAAAAATCAACTTTTAACATAAAAACACTGCAAAATTTGACTTTTTGAATTATTGAAAAGTACACTGCAAAATAATAATAATAATAACAACAATAACAAGGGACAGTTCTACATCTCTCGTTCTACTGAGCCGATTGACGAAATTTAAATTGCGTTTTTCATGTTTCGAAAGCGCGACTTAGGATATATATTAGATTTATATACAGCATTGTTCTAATATAGGTATTTTGACGCAAAATCGGCCCTATTCTGCAATGACATGCCAATGTTTTTCAATATCTCGATTCTACTACTCAAATTATACCAAACTGACAAGTTTTGTGAAAATCGCATGAGTAGTTTTAAAAAAATTCATTTTCAAAAATTTTATTTCCTCCATATTAATTGAATTTGGTATATAATTATTAATAGCTCTTTTTTTTAATTAAACGTATTCGATTCTTTCTTTTACATTTCGAAATTAAGGTTCATTCCAAATAAAATTTACCCATTTTTTATGATTTATTTTTAAAATTTTCATTTTAAAATAATTTTTATAAATTTTTCGAAAACAATTTTGAATTATAACCTATAAAATGTTTACCATCATCTTAAGTAGATGTATTTCTAAACATACCTGCAAAAAATTAGAGTTTTTATTCGAAATCTCCTAAAATATATGTGAATTTACGTATTAGCACGATATGAAATTTGGCATATTTGTTATAAGCTATAATAACGCCAAATGTGTTTTTCGCACTTTGTTAAAATTATTTGAACGTATGAACGATGACCTTTTTTACGCTCTTGTACAATAAAAGAAAGAAAGGTAAATAGGTTGCTATGAAGTAAGAACTCCGCCAATTGAATTATTCTTGGCGCAAACTGAAAAAAATGGACCGAGATAAATTTTTAAATTTCTCCGTAAATTTCTCACCAAAAAATTACAAAATTTAATATATAAGCATAATTTGAGTCGTAGAATCGAAATATGAAAAAAACATTGTCATGTCATTTCAGAAAGGGCCGATTTTGTGTCAAAATACCTATATTAGAACAATGCTATATATAAATATAATATATATACTAAGTCGCGCTTTCGAGACATGGAAAACGCAATTTGAACTTCGTCAATCGGCCCAGTAGAACGAGAGATATAGATAGAACTGTCCCCCCCTTTTTTTCGCAGTGTACTTCACGAATTAATCGTAGATAGTTATAAAGTAATAATAATATTATTCCTAATTATTAATCATTTATCTAGCATAACAAAAAAGGTTAATTCAGTGTATTTCTGCAATATTTCTGAAATATATTTCATTGTTTAACCAACCTTTAAAAGTATGTTCATTCACAGTACTTTGTTGTGTCCTAAAGGAATTACCTCCAAAATGTCAGCGAGCTACCACCCCAATTACAATCTGCATAGATTAAAATTTAACAAGTTTACTTATCCAAGCTTGATGGCTTACAACTGAAGCAAGAATTTTAATACAAAAAGAGAAGTATTTTTTGATAACTTACAATGTAATGTCTTACACAGCCTGCTTTGGAATTTACAACTTTTTTAATTATTACAATTTTTAAAATAAATGCTCTAAAATAGCATACCTGGTTTTAATCTCATCTAATTATAAAACAAGGAAGTAAAATTAAGACACAATAACACGCCGAACAAATACCAATTCAGAAGTCAAACATTAAAAATCAGCGTTATACCTACAAAATTTTCACACAGACTAGTTTCGATGGTTTTACCGACCATCATCTTCAGCTGCAAAACCGCAAATGAAACAAGATAGGAAATAATGATTAGATAGATAGAAAGCCTGGACAAGAATAAGCAAGTGGCGCCATCTGTTGGCGAAACCAGAACTAAAACATAATTTCTCTAAAAGCCGAAGGCAAATTTGGATTGGAATTAGGATCGTTAACTAGAACAGAAAGATTTTTATGAATGTGAAATGCCTCTAGAAATCCAGTTCTCCAATGAAGATGTTTTTTTGAATAATTTTGGCAGCAGAAAAATTGAAAGTGTGATTTTCGGACCCACAATGTTGAAACAACAGAAGACTTCTGTGTTTCCTTTTTTCTAACATATGCCTCATGTTCTTTGACGCGAAATTTTAAGGCTCTCTTAGTTTGGCCAATGTAAATTAAACCATACTGGCAAGGAATCCTATAAATACCCCAGGAATTCATATCCTGGGGTATTTATAGGATTCCTTGCCAGTTATAGGATTCCTTGCCATTTCTAACCCGGATATTATCATTTCAAAGGCCGACAAAGGTGGCCAGATAGTCGTCATGGATAAGAACACTTACATCAATGGTGTCACTAAACTCTTAAACGAAGGACCATATAATCCGATCCCTAAAGATCCTTCACCTTCGGACTTATCCAAAATAAAAACTGCGATCAAATCTTCGCAAATCATTTCAAGCAACTTAAAACATTCGCTTATCCCATCTGTTGCGAATTGTGCCAGATTATATGCTCTTCCCAAAATTCATAAAAGTGGTATTCCTTTCCGCTCTATTGTATCAATTTAGGTACTGCCTCGTATCCTTTAGCTAAATATTTAGTTTCTAGATTTTCCACTCTATTAGACAATAACATTTACACCATAAAAAATTCAATAAAGTTTGTAAAAAAAGGTTTAAAAACATTTCTCCTAGTAATTTACTCATGGTTTCTTTTGATGTAAAATCATTATTCACCAATGTCCCAGTGGAGGGTGCATTAAGATGTCTAGAAACCAGACTTCGCGAATTTCATTTCTCTTGCATCGAAATTGATGAGCTAATTTCTCTCACTCAACTCTGTTTGAAACAAACACATTTTGTTTTCCAAAATAAATATTACAAGCAAACTGAGGGATTAGCCATGGGAAGCCCCCTCAGTCCCATCCTGGCTGATATCTACATGCATTATTATGAATCAAAATTGTTTGAAACTTTAAACTTCCCGGCATGGTTCCGCTACGTAGACGATACTTTTACCCTGTTTGAAGGTAATAAAGATGATTTAAATAAAGTTCTTTCAACAATGAATTCCATTGATCCTGCTATTCAGTTCACTTTTGAACTTGAGACTTGCAATTCTCTTCCGTTTCTCGACATTCTGGTCACACGTAACACATCCAACTTCAGTACTACAGTTTACCGTAAACCTTCATCTGTTTGCCTTCCACCACACTTTAAATCATGTCATCCGACTAAACAAAAGTTAGCTTCATTCTATTCCTATGTTTTCCGTGCTCTTCAAGTTTGCTCCTCCAAACTAGCCCTTGATGAAGAACTAAATTATTTAAAAGCAATAGCTATTGACAGGGGCTTTTCACCCAACATTATTAATCAAGCAATTAAAAAATTCTCATCTCAACACACTAAAAGCCACACTCTTATTTTAGGAGATTATAAAAATTCTGTTGTCATTCCCTTCTTTCCATCAATTAGCTATAAAATTGCACATATTTTGCAGAAATTTAACTTTCGGGTTGTTTATTCTCCCATCAATAAAATTCCAACTTCTATTACTCAAGGACCCCATTCCGGATATGAATTCCTGTGGTATTTATAGGATTCCTTGCCAGTGTGGTTTAATTTACATTGGCCAAACTAAGAGAGCCTTAAAATTTCGCGTCAAAGAACATGAGGCATATGTTAGAAAAAAGGAAACACAGAAGTCTTCTGTTGTTCAACATTGTTGGTCCGAAAATCACACTTTCAATTTTTCTTTTCTGCTGGCCAAAATTATTCAAAAAAACATCTTCCATTGGAGAACTGGATTTTCTAGAGGCATTTCACATTCATAAAATCTTTCTGTTCTAGTTAACGATCCTAATTCCAATCCAAATTTGCCTTCGGCTTTTAGAGAAATTATGTTTTAGTTCTGGTTTCGCCAACAGATGGCGCCACTTACTTATTCTTGTCCAGGCTTTCTTATCTTATCTAATCATTATTTCCTATCTTGTTCATTTGCGGTTTTCCAGCTGAAGATGATGGTTCGGTAAAACCATCGAAACTAGTCCTGTGAAAATTTTGTAGGTATAACGCTGATTTTTGTTGTTTGACTTCTGAATTGGTAAGGAAGTAAAAAGCAAGTATAACAGTAAGTGGCAACAGGAATCATTGTGCCTCCAAGTCATTGCGAAATCTTTCTAAATATCGTTACCATTTAAACGTTCTTAAGCGTATTTTAATACCCATAACCTTCTGGTCTGAGCTAATATATGAGGTCTGAAAGAAATGATAGGTCAGCGTTTTAACTTACTGTTACTCAAACGTAAAATAATCGTAGCGTATTTATTTTAATTTGAATGAAAAAGAGTTTTAAGTTCTTTTCCTTTTCCTTCTACACCTTAGACACCTTTTTCTCCTTCCCACGAAAGTTTTCATATGAAAAATAAAAACATTTTTTTATTCTTTAAATAAAAGTCTAGTTTCACCTACTGCAAAGTTTTTCAATTTACATTTGAAGTTCTGAATATGTGTTTTTATTAGCCTCGCTTTTACTTTTAGGCTCTGTTGGCCCACAGATCTCTTGAGGATCTACTCCATAACGAACTGCTTTCTCCAAAGCTTTCTGAACTATATTTGCCAAAAACTCATAAACAATGTATTCATGATGTCAGACATGGAAACTCTTTATCCGTGGCATGCGTTAAAGCTATTAAAGAAGCTTCCATCTATAATAGTTTGGATCTTGATATTATCTGGCGCAATGTAAGTAGAATCTTCTTATATGTTCATCTATTTTAATTCAAATACCATAATGTTCTTTTAAGTATAATTTGACTTCGATAGTCTTACAACTATGGCTAGAAAAATAATTAAGTATTTGTTGAAATCGAATGCATTTAAAAAAATTATGTTAAATAAGCGGTAGAGTTGGTAATAGTAAGTAGTATAAAGATTAAAGTAGCATTGAAAGGTCTAAAGTTGAGCTGAATAATTTAAGCAAACACTTTCCGCATCGTGTAAAGTTGTAGATTACTGATGATTTTTACAAAAACTGTGATTAATTTTTAGATTTTTGCGGTCATTTCATAAAATTCGCATAAATTAAATCAGTAACGAATTTGGGTCAGGCAGCATAAACTGCCATAAATTTTCTTTTCGAGCATCCATTCGAAATTATTAATTAAAACTTCAAGATCGTGCTTTTTTACTGGTCTTGCTTTACAGTGGGAAAATCAGGGCATGTTTACATCAGATTTAAATTGCACTACATAATTTCCTGCCCAATCGGTTAAATTTATCATTTATTTAAAAAATATGTAATTTCCCCCCAAATTTAAGTATAATATTCGTCCATATAAACTGACCAAGGATCGAAATTTCGGGGTTGCTAAATCTACGATTGTAAGCATCGTTCCGTTTCGATGTTTCTCTGGGGACTAATCGTTGATCTATCCATTTATTAGATAATTACTTTATATTTTCCCCTCACTACTGCAGATTGCATTGTCGCTCATAAAAAAAATAATTCTCATACTGGGAAAGAATGAGTAGCCTTATTTTAAGATTTAATCTCCTTCGTGTAGTTAATTGTATTCACTCAGTGCTCAACTCTCAGCATTTTATTATGGCTTATATCTTATAGATTTCTTCGCTTTTATTCTATTAAAGTAAGTGTCGAGTAACCTAATAAACTGCTAAGCAAATAATCGCTTAAGTCCAAGAACAGAAACGTAAACTCAAGAAAGATTAATTACCCTTTATTTGCTCATAATAAGTTTAACAGTCGGCCCCTTTCTCAGGATGTGCAGCAAAGCCTCCACTTCAGCTAAACTAGTTGGCCCCTAATATTAAATTAGCCAGCGAACTATCAAAAGGCACGTAATACGGCCGAGCGTAGTAACAGCTTAGAGCGACGTAAGCCAAAGGCAAACGCGAGCTATTCAGGAATCCGAACTCTCTAGGGCAACTTGACTTAAATACTATCCTCCTTCTCATTTGCATTTAACGCGATTTTAAAAACTCATTCTGGTAGGGAGTTGTAATCTGAAGCTAGGAGAGACAGAAAAGAAGCATAAACTTAAAATAATTGTTATAAATTTAAAATATGCCTTACAACCTTATCCATCAAATATAAGTGTTGAACAATGATGGAGCGATCATATTCCCTCTTATTCTGAGTAGTATCCTCGTGAAGATAAGGATTTAATCTATCTTTATCGAATTCCAACTGACTTCCTAAATGTAAATCATCAGATACGTCAAATCCCTTTCCCAAGAATTGAGAGAACCATTTTGTAGCCTTATTCAACAATGGCATGAGTCCTGTGCGCAACTAAAATTGTTGTCGTCGCTCCTGCTTTCCCTAATCCTCGGTTAAACTCGATAAGGAAAACATACTGGAAATGTACATCTTTATCCCCTTGGCATTCCCTCTTGTTTTGTCTACTAGACAGGCAAAATGTGCTCAAAATGAACATGTATTACGTTTCCAAAAACACAAAATTACAAACTAAGCAATAAAAACAAAGTAACGAGCAATTGTTCTGAGCAATGCAGAGTTGCTAACTCATAACACAGTGGAAAATATTGGCTCTGCATTTCTGCATAGAGCCAATATTTCTTTATTAGTCTGACTCTACCGGTGGCTGAATTGCGAAAGATATTGATATTTCATCTCGACTTCAGTTCCTATGTACTTATGGAGATTTTTCGATATGAACATAAATCAAAGACATTTTCACAGTCGCTGCCTAACCTTCATGAAGTCACAAAGGAGTGGGCTTTATTTCTTGAAAGTCTTCAAACTTATCCAATTCTTCATCCGCTTTCGAATAAAGTGCCACATTTTGTCCATTAATACCGCGCGAAAGAATGTTTAATACGAAGCATGGATGGAAAGAGATTTTCTGTTTGCTATTATTAAGTTATCAGGACTTGTATGTATTTTGATTTGTTTCGGGAATATGACGTGTCCTGAATAGGAACAGGTAGCTTACTCAAGCTATGTTCAAATATGTGTGGAATGGACGACACAAGCAGGAATGGTTAACTTTACCCTTTATTGTTCACGATATTACAAGTGCTCCCGGCACTTCGAGATACAGAGACCAACCACTTGTGGTCTGAATTTAAAAATATAAAGAACTACTAACTAAAAATAAGACTTAACTGCGAGTGCTTTACGCAATTGACTAACGCCAAGACTGTCCTTTTGAATTATTACGTATGTAATATACGCAAACTGCTGAAACTACAATACGTTATACCAAGAGGACTAAACCTCTGGCCTTAAAGGCGGACAGCAGCTGATTGGAAACTCGCGTGTAATACAGTGGCAAGGCGGCTCACTTTCTCTCTATCTAACTCTGCTCTTGGTAAAAAGCCACAACTTAAATACTTGGGCGTTAGCAAGTACAAGCCCAACTTACTTGGGCGTTAGCAAGTACAAGTAAGCCACAACTTAATACTTGGGAGTTAGCAAGTACAAAAATTTAATTAATTTTTAAAAAGCTAATGTTAGTTCAATTACAAATTAAATGGTTTTATTTCCCGCGCAGTAGCGCGTGACGAATATTAAAAGAAAGCTAAGCCGGAAAACTGAAAATACAAGAGCGCGGGCATTTAACATTTAATAAGTATCTCTTTTTGATTTCGAGAAAGTACTAGAAAATTCTCGCGCGCGATTTTAAAATCTTATAAAAGGAGGAAAACCTCTCAGTTCGTTGTAGTTACTTAGTTTGTTGTTGTTTAGAAAACTGCTCTTGTTGACTGTAGCGAATTCGCGGATTAGCTTTCTTTAGCTGTTTTGAATTAAGTTCTATTGAACGTTTGAGTAGTTAGAAGATACTACTGTGATATATTATGATACTGCACGATTATTTAAAGACATTTAATCATATTTGTTGTGATAATAATAAATGTTTCTTCATTTTTCATCGGACTTGGGCATTCATTTCGTAACGAACCCGTACGCACGCAACAATTTTCACGCGTTTATTCTGGCCGGAAGTGGAAAATAAGAGATTATAGTAAAGTTTTAAAATAAAACAAACTTTAGTAAAACTTAAGATCCTAAAAAGTTATCAGATAAATGTAAATTCATTGGATATTCATAAAATTCAACACTTAGATTTATTTCTCATGTAATTAATATTCCTTAATTATTTTAGGAATTACCCCCTGAACTTTTTGATTTGTTAATCAAAGTGGAGTTAGCCGCGAAATTCGCCTTCTTTCCTCACCTGGAAGTGGAAATAAAGAAAGGAGTATCGAAGGTGAGATGGCCGTATCTTCGATTCCACTCCATCATAATCGATAAGCTGGTTGATAAACCTGTTGCTGATATTGTCATCGAGAAGCCAGATGAAATCCTGAAGTTCCATAAAGTGGAGTTAGGACCTATTCAGCCTATCTCCTGCATAGAGCCTCTTGTAGATACTTACTTTCAGGCTTACAGCAACAACACTTATCCAGGTAAGAACAATTTTGCAATATCCATCTGCCAAGTATAATTACTAAAACAGTAGAACACTATAATTTAAATTCCATCTTCGCTTGTCAAGAAATATGTTTATGATTGATATGTAATTTTAAAATTTAACTTAATATTTTTACTGCATATGTCATAACAAAAATTTAATTTTTATTATCTAGTTTCATGCATCATCACCGAGAAACAAGTGAAAACATACGATGCAAAGGTTTACCAACTACCAGAAAATGCTCCGGAACACACTTATATTGTATCAGCTCACAGCATAGAGCACAAAAAATTCGCTGTCCTAGCCAAGATAAGACCAGGCTCAAATGCTGTCGAGGTAGTACAATGAAATCTTTGATCAAATTTGGTATTTAAGTGCAACATTGTTCTCATATTCGTAAAATATAACTTAACATTTATACGAACATACGCATACTGTTTTGTAAAGTGTTAAAATACATTTGATCTCAAGTTCGAAGATGGTTTTGAACACCGTACAATGCATTATCTAAAACTATATTTGACTTGCGTTATTAAAAGAATAGCATGAGTAAAAAATTGTACTTCAAATGCGTAACACGGGAAACATTTTTTTAAAAATAAAAACTGCGACAGAGAAATTTTAATATAAAATACAGAGTCGTAAGCGGCGTTAAAATAGTGGATATGAAACCTGTTGGAGTTATTAAAGCAGATTAGAGCTTTTGCAACATCAATAGATAAATGGATAGATTTAAATCAATAGATTTAAATATCATGCTCTTCGCACTTAAACCTTAAAATTCAGTTCAACAGCAATACCACAAAATATTTTTAAAAGAGCATATCTTTAGAATTTCCGATACACAGTCTCGGCGAGTTGGCGATAAAAGTGATTTTTCCCGTACAGTGTTGCCATTGCTCGCTTTGAAATCGTTGAGTTTGTTAATCAAAATTTTTTAATTTTGACAAAATATGAAATAGATAATAAAGCAAGTTCGAAATTCAAACTTCGGGCTTCCAGGTGCCCTTATTCGGTTGGAAGACTATGTTATTCAAAATTTGATGCGTCTAGGTACCGTTGTTTTTTCACAATGCTATAAATATTCGTGCAGGTTCTTCATTATTTAGTTTCTTTAAATATAATACATGGAAAAATATTTAGTGGCAACAGTTTGAGAAGTGAATCGACGCAAAATGCTGTTTCGAAATTAAGGGGTGTTGGAACCCAAAAATCTTAAAAAAATAGTGGTTTCAGATTTTTGCATTTTCAAATTCTCTACTCTTTTAGCTTTCTAAAACTACAATTCTCTAATCTCTATGCAAATTAGAACTGTTAAAAATCAAGTTTTAATTTGTCATTGAATGCTTTGATAAATGAGGATTTTTAAAATAAAAACGCGTTTTTCTCCAAACGTGATTTTTTTATACTCGATGTACCTTTTCTCAGGAACTACTGCTCACAGGTATCTAAAATTTTTTATGGCTTATTTATTAGGTTTCCTAATATTTACCGAAATGAGCTTTTTGTGATAAACTAAGAAAAAAAAATTAATTTTTTTGTGTGAAAAAAGTGCTAATTTTACTATGCCTAAAAAAGTATTCTGTAAATTTCTCTAAAATACAAAATTTTTCAAAAGCTCATTTCAGTATAATCAGATAGATATACTTTAATTACACAAAAAATTTAAGATAAAGCGTGCATCTACAGCAGATTTTGTGAAAAGGTACATCGAAAATGGCCAGTTTAACATTTTTGATATAGGAAATGCTGATATCCCTTAATAGCCCTTCTGGATTAACGCCATTTTGGCTAAAAATTAAAATTAGCTCAATTTCCTAAAAGGAAAAACCAGAGTACTGTAGATTTTGAATAAACCTCCAAAAGTTTGGAAGGCAAACAGGTATAAATCCGCTCACCAGTTATAAAGTATATCTCTCGCCTTCTTAGCATGCCTTCGTGATGTAATGGCCAGCACACTCGGCACGGATTCCACAGGTCCGAGGTTCGAGTCCCGGCGAGGGCATTGATCATTTTTCATGGCTCCTGCTTCTAAATAACCTAATGTCTCTACACGGTGACCGAGCCGTAAAATCGCTGAGCACTGGTATTCGACCTGGGTTCGAATCCAACCAAGCGAGCTGGTTGCATGGGTCTTTTAAAGGTTTTCTCCAGGTGCAACGGATTCAAGTCAGCTTTTCTGAGAAAATTCTCCACGAAAGTATCCCTTTACTAGGCAGGAAGTTCTCGAGTGCCAGACAAATAAACCAAAACCAGACATAAATCTCTTTCTTCAGGAGGAAGAGAAATAAATGTCTGATGACCCTCGAAATGTCTGATTTTTATTCAAAATTCATCCCCTTTTTTTGATAAATTCAGTCTTCAAAATAGTCATGGGCAAAGCTTTTATCTTCAACTTCAGTGTTCTTAAAATAATATTTTCATGTGGAAGATAAGGCACTCGTAAGCGGGAAAAAATTCTTTAATTACCTCAAAATATTACAACAATAAATAAATCCGTAAAATATACGCATAATTAAACGATTAGGTAGCGAATATGTCTGAAGCAAAGAAAACGAGAGTATTCAAAATATAACTGACTGCGGTTTCTGCGTTAATTAACGAGTCTTCATTAGGATTATAGGATTATGTAATTGGTTTTAAATTTCAAAGAAAATTTGTTGTGCAAAAGTTCGATATTTAATAGTTTCCCTTTATGTAAGCGTATGCGTTTTGTAACAACCATTAATTTGAGACTGACGCACTTAAGAAAGGTTAATTATAAGCATTATTGTAGAAGATAAAGCAATAAAAATCAGAGTAATATGTATAAATTTGCGAGACTAATTTCGAAGGTTTAAATATCAGAAAGCTCTCTGCAACTGAAGAAGAAGGTTCTATAATTAAGCCTTCGAAACTAGTCCTGCAAATTTATGAATATTACGCTAATTTTTGTTGCTTTAACCCTCTAACAATCGTTACTGGGCGTGTTATTATAACTCAAATATAAGCATTTACTACTGTTAGTTAGAAAGGAAATTACCGACTTAAAAGACAGGGATTATTGTAATTCATAATTTAAACACATGATCTCTTGTATTAAATTAACTATACTTATTTAATCAACTTCAAAATATTAACTTACTCATCCACTTAAGCACCCGTAAATTTATACATGCATTGCATGAAGTCTTGAAATCAAATATCGCATAACATTACATATTTATAATTGCTTAACACTTCCATTTTTACCATTTAAAATATTTAAATAACGTCAAATATATGCGTTAATTTATGACAGTGTGTATAAAGACGAAATATGTATATATTTCAATCATATTAATAGAGACGACAATATTTGAACTCATGCATTTTTGGTAAATAATTTAGAAAAGAGAAGAGTTTTGATTTCCTTTTGCCATTTTCCTTCTCTTTTTTTACAAAATCATGAATCTAAATCAACGGAGTAACAAGATTGTTGAACACAGCTAGTTCGACCTGACTCAGAACTCAACGATGCCCGCTCTTAGACATACCTCATCTTAGCGGGTATCTCTCGTTCGATTAGAAGTTTTCCGTTAAACAAAGGAATGGTGTATTGTACGTAATGTGCTACCATAATTTAAAGATGAATTAAAAACGTTTTATTGAATGAAATGGGAATAGCTTTCAGAATTGGCAGCTTGCCTGTCCAATTTGCCATTGGTTGTCTAATTGCATAGTAATGAATGGGGATCTAATTGCATAGTAATGGAACTTGAAAACTTGAACTGAATGGGGATCTAATTGCATAGTAATGGAACTTGAAAACTTGAAATATGTTATAGACTCTTATCTAACTTACTACGTAATACTACATAAGCAAAAACATTGATCTTAATAATATGTATTATCAATGTCAAGGTTATGTTTCTAATGAAATTCTAAGTGAACGAAATATAGCGCAGTAAGTCAAGAAAAAAAAACAATTACCATTAAGTAATTAGTGATATTGCCATGCAAATAAGTAATTTAAATACTTTTTTCCAGGAAATCCAACTGTTTATAGGAGCGGATGTAATTGTCCTCATTCCTCCTTCAAGGCACGTATACAACCTCAAGCACAACGAAGTAAATGTGCCTATTCGCTTGTTGAAATCTAAAGTACTGAACTGGGAAGAACAGATTCATGCCTTCGTCTATCCACTTGTTGATGGAAATGTAGTTCTTGAAGTGCATGCCCATGTGGCAGGTGTCAGAGTCACCTATGACGGAAAGAATCTGAAGTTAAAGGTACTTCATAAACCTCTAAATACAATAACCGAAGATAAATCAAATGATTTATTCTATAACATAACATGTAAAAATTAATTTAAACCATCATAATATTCAATGATATGCATTGCCTCGTAATCATGATTGGCAATTGAAATTGAAAGATTGCCAATCATGCCTACTGGGTTCATTAAGGAAATAAGAGTTTTATGTCCAATCAATCCATAAAATACAATCAGTTTTCGATTAACAAGGGGCAAAATACCCTGGCTCTATCTTAAAAAACATTAAACTTATTTATTGCAGAATGAATGGAAAAATTGCTATGAAATAAAAATAATGAATTATTATAAAATTGCTATGGATATTATTATGGATAGCTGCGAATTTCTGTTATCAGTTACTAGGCAAAAGTTATTATGAATTGTTGTTACGTATTATTACTATGAAATTTTTATGAATTACTATGAAATTATTAATAATAACGTGATGCAGAATTTAGTATGAACAGTTTGTTCCTTTGGTTTTGAATACTGATTTCACTTACATAACCAAATGAGAATATTATCCAGATTAAACTGCTCTAAAGTACAGGTAAATTATTAATATTATTTTAATCTTAATTATGTTTTCCTTTTTCTTGTATTTTTTACCTAACCTCTGATAATTATGATTTTGAGTGAACTGTGGGTATCGTTCCTGGTACTGTAGAGGTAAATTAGGAGTTCACTTTATGTAATTTGTAATCTTTGTAAGGTACGTGATTATAACACATTTAAGTTAACTGAAAAAGATGTATTATAAGGTTAATAATGATTTCATGAAATATTTTAAAAATTTATAGCAAATAAACTACATACTCAGTCAAAATTTTGCCTTCACCTTTGTTGGCATCATCTGACGACAGTGTTATCGCGATGAAAAGTGAGACGATGCCACTAAAAATCAGTCCTTCAAACTCAGTTGTAGTATATAATATCAATTAGGCACGTTACAAGTCTTTTTCCATGAAGTGAATTATGTTAAAAAAAGAGAGAGAGAGATTACTTCTTATTTAACGTAATAAAGTTTGGTATCGGTTGCGCAATTTATACGTCGGGCAATTTTTAAATATTTCGTGGATTTACGAACAATCCTATATTATGCATTCAGTAAAATATAATGGAAGGTGACGGCCCTTACTCTCATAACAGAATTATATATATTAATAAAAGTTATAGCGGCTCGTATTCTTAGCAAATATAAACTAACGAGATGCTAGCAGACTGTTTAGGAATTATCCTCTAGCCGAGAGAAGGTTGTAAAGAACCCTTTATTAACTCAATATCTTTCACAAATGGTACCGACTCGGGCTTACAAAAGCCAGCACGTCTGGCTTAACTCAAAAGGTAACAAGTAACTTCAAATAGAATAGAATTAAATTAACCTAACGGCCTTTCACAGATTACTTAACAAGCAGGAAGGCTCTGACTCGTAAAAGCCGGCGTAAACAAGCTTAATGGCTAAAAGCGCTCTGCCACAGAAATCCAAACGCTAGTAAATCAAAGATAGCAACGTGGCCCTCAGGCAGGCAGAACACGCTCCAGAACTACCTTCAAAACTTTTCCTTAAATACTAACTTCTTTCTATCTCATTTGAATACATACGCACTAACTTATTATTAGCATTTTGGATAGAAAGCGTGGGTTCAAAAATGAGAGTGATAGGAAAAGTTGCTTCAAAAATAAAATTAACTGCTAAATAAATAAAATGAATCCCCACAAATCAATAACTCTTGTTGTTTAGATTCATCCAAGATACAAGGGCGAACTGTCCGGGTTGTGCAGTGAATTCGATGGTGACGTTCTTCGAGAATTCGTAGGAGTCGATGGATGTTTATATTCTAACAGTGATGATTTCGTCAAATCTGCCATTGTTGACAGTGATGCAGACAGGACACCAGAACATCCAGTTATATGTGATCAGGATGAAATTCTACACCGCACCAGGGAGAAACAGTACTGTAAGTTCATTAACTATAACATGAATGCTTCTGTTTATTATATATGTAACAAATTTATAGTTTTTAATCTTGCGCAGAGTTTTCTTCTAATTTATAGCTGCCATCAACATCAGATGAGTTTGCGAAAGTATTCTGTATTCATAATAACAATAAGATATGACTAAGGTACTCTATTCATAAAATAATATATAGAATGCTTCTATACATGCTACTATTACAATATTCAAAAATGCATTGCGTTTTAATTTGTGTGTCAAAGCACTTGTGCCCTTTTACTTAAGGAGTTTTACTTAAGCAGGCAGACATCTCAGGTTTTATTAAAATTCTCAGAAAATCGATTTCAAAAATTCACGACAAAACTAATGTTTATTAAATTATAAGGTATTTCTCCCGCCTGCTTACCATGCCTTCGTGGTGTAATGGTCAGCACACTTGGCGCGTATTCGAGAGGTCTGAGGTTCGAATCCCGGCGAGAGCATTGCTCATTTTTCACATCTCCTGCATCAAAATGTTTCTACAGTGGCGCCCAAACTAATGTTTCTACATTCTTAACTAACTAATGTTTTTACAGTGGCGCCCAAACTAAAAGGTGATGAATGATGATTTTCTCTACCAGGATTTATCCATTGGATCACCTAAGCCCGTTGCCCTCTAAAAGAAGGAGTATATACGGTATTTCTCACGCCTTCTTAGCATGCCCTTCGTGGCGCACTCGGCGCGTATTTGAGAGGTCCGAGGTTCAAGTCCCGGCGAGGGCATTGCTCAATTTTTCATGTACTCTTGCTTCAAAAATACCTACTGACTCTACAAAATGATAAAGTTAAGTTGAAAATTTCATATGATGTACTGTAAAATCAGAGCGCATGTTAGAAATGCTCTTCTAAAAGTTCCTCTGTAAAAGTTCCTCTTAAAAAATATTTCTAAAGCGTAATCTAATTGCATAGTAAAAACGAGCTGTTAATTATAAGCTTTAAATGTAGCTTTTTCAATTTTATATTTTACGTCGCTCTTTCGCAATTTTCGAAATCAGTAGGCAATTAATGAAATATTATGTGTTCGACCTAATGCGGTATGTCGAATATGATATTTTGGATTCATGAATTAAAAGGTTTTTGCAAAAATATTAAAACTTTAGACGTTACTAAAATAAAAAATAAACACATAAAAAAGCACGATTAATCAGATTAAAAATATCTGAATTTGAATTAAATTCATATCACTTTTTTAATAATATTGTATTGAGCAACTGCTATATATAAAATTAATTACATATTACTTTTAAAAATTTATTTAATTTAAGTACATGCTTATAAAATGGAAAATAAAAACTAACGGTTTAGAAAATTTTTTAAAAAAATTCCTTTAATATAATTTCTTGTGCGTCATTAAAAAAATTTTATAATAAAATGAACATTTTTAAGAAAATGAAAAATTTTGAGTCTGCCCAAAACTTAGCCTATTTCTTTCTAGTTGTTGACTTAACTGTAAAGGTTCCTATAACATAATTTTAAATTTAATATTTCCATTTAACAGACTTTTACTTATGAATCAGTTTCGTGAATCAATTCAACATATTTATAAACAGTTTAAGAATTAGTTCAACATGTTAATGAAACAGTTTCTGTTCAACTGCAGAAACAAACATATACAGAATTTTTTATAAATTATTGCAATAGATTAAATACTTTAGTACTCAGACGTGATAAAGTATAATAAAACGGCCATTCCATAGCTTTAGGAAAAAAACACATACACTTTTTTTACTTCACAGTTGATGGTGAAACATCTTATTCAAGGCTAATGAACGTTTACCAGGATCTCTTGTTTTAATTCCACATGATTTTTCTCGCTTATGGCCATCAAGGATTTACTGGAAGATCTGCGGACAATATCAAAGATCATATTTATCCTTTTACCTTTTCTGTATGGTGTCGAGGCATCCAGGTTTAGTCTTCATGCAACCATATGATTCACTACTGTATGCCTATTAAGTGGAAACACTAGGCCAGTATAAGATTTTCGAGTTTCGATTGAGAATACCAATGATATATACCTATCTAGTATACTATCTAAAGTGGAAGAGGTTAAAGCTCTCCTAATTTGATTAATGTAGAAAAAATTGCCAAATAGAATATGGCAGGATTATCGCGTGGCATTTGTCGGTGTGGACATTTGGCACACGTATTTCCGCATATGTGAGCTGAGGTGTTTCATGAAAAACTTGCATATCAAATGGTATGGTTACGGCTCTGATATCCATCACGTATTTTATTTACTAATTATTGAAATCGTTCCCGTGATAACAACTTTAAGAAATTTAGAATGGCTATTGTGATTAAATGATTTATGCAAAATTACAGTAAGTAGAAATTAAATCCAAAAAGAAAATATGAAGGGTTTCAGATTTTAAATTACGTCCAAATGGGCGTTTTTTTAACATTTTTGTGCGTTACCTTTATTTATTGAATATCATGCTGTTCGCACTTAAACCGTAAAATTCAGTTCAAGAGCAATATCGCAAACTAATGTTAAATTGAGCATATCTTTAGAATTTCCCATACACAGTCTCACGCGCTGGAGATAAAAATGTTTCTATGCAACGTTGCCATTGCTCGCTTTGAAATCCTTAAGTTCATTAATCAAAAATTCATTAAAGTTTTACAAAATAGAAAATTGATAATAAAGCAAATTCCAAATTTGGGCTTCCAGATGCCCATATTCGTAGGAGGATTACGTCATTCAAAATTGGATGGCTCTATGTACTGTTGTTTTATCACAATGCGAGAAACATACATACATTTATGCAGATTCTTCTTGATTATTTTCTTCAAATACAATACAGGGTGATAATATTGGGTGGCAACAGTTTGAAAAGTGAAACTGATATTCAGAGTGACTCAACGGAAAATCGTAAAACGAAAACAATAGTCCCTCAGGGACAAAGCCCCTTTGGACTAATAAGATGTTCCAGCAATCATATTAGGGAAAATTCCCATATTTATTCTTTTATGAAAACAAACTGAAATAGTGGGAGATTATTCCTCCATTGGCTTCAAGCAGAATCATTTAATGATTGATGTTCCAAGAATACCCTTTTCCCATTTTATTTCTTTCTATAGCTTAAAATTTTCAGAAATAAATCTGCAAAAAATGTTTTATAACAATTTGAATGGAATGACAACGTGTCGCAATCAAGCAACATTCAACGTTCTAAAACGAATTTTCTAATTAACAAATTACTGAACTGAATTATTTCAGAAATGAAAGCAGAATTTTGCAATCCGATAAAAAGCATCATGTTGTATAGTATTAGTACAGAAGACTCTTATAAATAATTTCTCTTTACATTAGACTTAAAGTGTGTATTTATTATTTTGAAGAACAAATGCTATTTAAATAAAATCTTACAATATGGTTTTATTCCATTAGCTCCTAGAATGAGACGAAACTTAGTCTTGGCCAAGGGCGAGGAGCTGTGCTTCTCTGTGAAACCCGTCCCAATGTGTGATAATCAGGCATCACCACAGCAAACAAAACAAGAAAACGTCAAATTTCATTGCTTACCCAAACGTGATGTTGCCGCCAGGAGAATGGTAACTGAAGCAAAAAGAAGGATTTTGGGAGAATTAGAAGCCAAGTCTGCTGATTTAACACAAACCGTAAATGTAGCCAAGATGTGTTAAAAACTCCAACTGACTTCTAGGAATTCCAGCTGGCTTCTAGAATGAATGTGGACTGTGAATTTATTTAAACTTTAGCTAAAATATTTTGTAATGAATTTAATAAGACAACCACGTGTAAAAATCTGTGAGTAATAAATGTGAATGTACATGCTTTACTAAGATTTTTTTCATTTATTAATCAGTTTTGCAACTTTTACCAATCAGATATCTTTTATTTGATGAAGAAAAACCGCATTTAGTCACAAGTTCCTCACCCCCTTCTTTTTTCGAATTTCATTGTACGGAAATCAAGAGCAGAAAACTTTGCGAATAATTTAATTTCGAATGACGAAGATACAATAATAATAATGTAACAAATGAAAAATATTCGTGGATGAACCACCGGTAGTTATTGCAGTATTATTTATTTAAAGGAAACTTGCATTCCATTAAGAATACATTCTAATATTAATATTACAATATCTACGAAGATATCTTCATCTCTACTTCTTTATACAGTGGAACCTCGAGATACGAGTTCAATTCGTTCCAGCATTGAAACTAGCTTCCCCGCTGAAAATAATGGAAATCCAGTTAATCCGTTGCGTACCTCCAAAAATATCAACATAAAAATCCATTTTTCCATAAGTAGCACTGGTAAATAATATAACCCTAGTTTACCGTTATCATAGCTTCCGACACCGAATCGCCTTTTAAATGCTTCTCATTAATCTACACCAACAACAGCTTCGCAGCATCTTCTAAGAGTTTTAGGCGGCGCTTGGCAGCAACGGTAACTCCTTTGGCGACATCAAGTTTCTTATTTCTTCCTTCTTCTTCAGAATAGTGCAGATCGTCGATGTCGCACAGCCGTAAATCTTCGCCAATTCTGTCACTCTTACACCATACTTATGTTTATCTATTATTTCTTTCTAAATTTCAATGGCCATTGCTGCCTTCTCTTCCTTTGCAGCACTATTTGAGGTAAAAATCTTCTTGGGAGGCATCGTAAAATAATTATTTTCACCTTAAATGTAAGAAACAGTTAACTCACAAGAGCACAAACACGAAGATCAAAGAACACTGAGTGATCTGACGAGGGGATTCCTCAAGTCGAGCCGGATCGGGAAATGGCGCCACTCATACCAATAGCCTGGCTCCTTGCTCGTTACTCGAGTCAATGCTCGTATTTAGAGACGAATTTTTCTCTCATACTTTCCTCGTATCTCGAATTTCTCGTTGATAGAGGTTCTCGTATCTCGAGGTTCCACTGTATATTGAATCTCGCCAGCTTTTATTGCCAACTTCTATTGCCCAAGCCTGAAATCATTTAACTGCTGTTTGCGTCGTCTGCTACAGCTTGGAAGTCGTAGCCATCGTTTTCGTTGCCGGTCAGTCTGTCTTCTCATGTGTAATGATCTTCAGAACCATGAAAAGCATTAGATATCCTGTTTTTCTCGAAACTGCTCACTATTACTGCTTTATCACCAAACACCCAAAAGCCAAATCACCCAAATTTTCAGAACTCTGTGTAAGGAACAGAAAATATTTCAATCATTTGGCGCTAACAGAATATGTTTTTAACGCAGGAGTAATTTGCGGACGAGCCATTAAATGGAAAAGAAATTCATAATACCATTACTTGAAAGCATTACAAATGAAACTATATGGTATTTTCTCCCTCTTTCCTGCATGCCTTCGTGGTGTAACGGTAACACACTCGGCGCGTATTCGAGAGGGCCAGGTTCGACTCCCCGCGAAGAAATTGCACAATTTTCTCGTCTCCTCTATCATAATAACATAATGACCCTACTACAGTGGCGCCCGAACTAAAAGATAGTGGATGATGATCCTTCAGCACCAGAATTTGGAGATTGGATCCCCTTTTTCCTAGTCGCTGTTAAAAAGGGGAGTATATAAGGTATTTTCTTCCTCTTTTCTGCATGCTTCCGCGGTGTAACGGTAGTACACTCGGCGCGTATTTGAGAGATCCAGGTTCGAGTCCCGGCGACGGCATTGCACAGTTTTCTTGTCTCCTGCTTCATAATAATCTAATGACAATAGAAAACGAATGAAATAATTTGGATGTTGAATACATATAGAGGCATAAAAAAGTAGTTGAATTCATGGTCGATTTAACACATTTATTTCTTGGCAAAACAATGGCTTTATTGTAAATGAACATTTCCGATGTATTATTGATAAACTGGCGTAAGCGCGTTCATACTTGAATCAATTTTACTTTTTTTAAATGTTGTAGTAAGGAAAGCAGTGACAGCAAGCTAGCTAGACACAGAAACAGAGAACAATAAGAAGTGTTTAAGATGAAAACTTGGTTCAGAATGATTTAGTTTTAGTTTACCTCTAACCCTATTGGTAAATTTAAGTTTTGATCCAGATGTAAGTATGTGCGTCATTAGCGTTATGCAAAACTCATATAATATGGATCAATTTCGAGACGACACAGGTTATGAGAGATTTATTGTAAGCAAGCACTATTTTTAGGAGAGAAAGGTGGAAATAATCAAATATAAAAAGACAATTAAGGGAAGTTTCAAATTAAAGTTAGAATAATTACTATTTATTTTTATTTCCAATGGGAGGCACTAGCCTTTATAGGCGTTAGCCACTACTAAGGCCAAAAGCGGTGGTCACTTTATTACAGAGACACCTAACATGTGAGCCACCGTTACCTCCTGTGAAGGGACAGATAATTTACATCCGTGCCTTGTCCGGTATTCGAACCTTCGGTACGGCAATCAGACTCACTACCCACTTTCCCGTCTGGGCGGTTTAAGACTAGAATTGTGATTTATATATTTTTATATCTTATACAAACAAGCCATAATCAAGTATTAATATAAAAAGGTTTTAAGTATAAATAAATTCATAAATGAAAATAATTTAATAATAAAATTAGTGTAAAACCCGAACTCATCTTATTTGAAGTCCAGTTATTATTATTATTAACGTGTTCCGTCCTAAAGCACGACACAGAACGGAGAGATGCCTTTGTGGAGGACTTTCTAAGGAAACTGGCTCGTATTAACACGTTACACATGGGGAAAACCAAAAAAAAAAAAAAAAAAAAAAAAAAAAAAAAAAAAAAAAAAAAACCATCCATGCAACCAAACTTGTTCGTGGAATTCGAACCTTGGACCAAACTTAACAGTAGAATAGAAGAGAAACACGCCAATGTGACAATCAAAATCGCAATAACAACCTTGTATAAATACAAGGTTGTTATTGCGTACATATATTAAAACACTCAATCGATTTAGCTGCCCTCAAAAATCGATTGAGTGTTTTAACACATGTACGCTAAATACAAGGTTGTTATTGCGATTTTCAAACTTAAGAGTGTTCAAAGACTTTACCGCTCGGCCGCTTGTGCGCCGACGCCCCCTTTAGAATTCCCTTCTTGCTTTCTTCCTCCTCCCATTATATCCATGTGCCCTAAAGGGCAGAAGCTTCAGGGTTAACTTTTACTGCAATCGTTCTTCTAAATATGCTAAACTTTTTCAGTGCCAATTTGTGAGTGTTATTTGATTTTTTAAATCTGCGGTTCATTGGTGTTAACTGGGAATGTGTTCCAGACTCCAAAGCGTTTTCGGGGAAAGTGCAAAATCATCTACTGCTTGGCGCGTTTTTAAGAATTGCACATACTCATCCATAGACACATCGACCTATTTTCATTTAAAAAAACATCCCAGAATTGCACAAAAATGGCATTGCGCACTCCCTTGATTTAATCCCTGGACACATCGACTTATTTTCACTTAAAAAGTAGAAAGTAAAAGTAAAAGAAAATTGACAAAAATCCAATTCTTTTTACTCTTGTAAAATGCGCCAAACAAATACAATGTCTCACAAAAGTGATGGGACACTTGTGCTTTACAAAAGGAAATTGTAATGAAATAAATTAAAAAAACATGTAAAACGTTTTTGTGGGTGTGTTTCATACTTAAATTTAGTAACAATTATTACATAACATACATTTTCTCAAAATATTAAAATAATAATTTAATAAAAATACAATTGTTTAAGAACGGAGCAAAAAATGGCTCACATAAGTGATGGACACCATTAGATACTGCTACATACTACAATAAAAATATTTTTTGGATTTTTATTTTTACTCAAAAGCAATTAGTAATAATTTATAAGATCGTCTGGCGTCTTTCTCTCCAGTTTGTTTTGGAATTTTTGTGTTTTTTAGCTCTGTGCAGCCATGAATGCTAAACGAAAAAAAATTTGCCTGAAATTCGAAAATTAGTTATTAATTTGCATATTGAACGTGAAAACTCTATTAGAGAAACTGCTGAAACAGTTAACGTGAGTCATTCAACAGTTTTCAAATTCATTAAACAATATAAAAAGAATCATATGATTCAGGATAAAAGAAGACCTGGCCGACCATCAAAGCTATCCAATGGAATAAAGCGAATTATTGTTCAAAATATTTAAAAAAAAATCGAAGAATGAGTGCTCCTAAAGTTGCTGCTGATTTACAAGCATTATATGGAGTAATTGTTAATCCTGAGACTATTAGAAGAGTAATTCGATCTGCTGGATATCACGGTTAGAGCAGCCAGGAAAAAATTCTTCGTAAGTGAAAAGAATAGAAAACTCAGACTGGCTTTCGCAAAATCCAACATAAATAAGAACTCTGATTACTGGAATGAAGTTATATTTGCTGATGAGAGTAAATTTAATATATTTGGTTCTGACGGTAGAATCTTGGTGTAGAGAAAACCCAGGAAAGAATTTCGCAAACAGAACTTGGTGCCAACAGTAAAACATGGTGGAGGAGGAGTTATGGTATGGGGGTGTATGTCGTCCGCTGGAGTTGGTAATCTTGTTTTTATTGACAGTATAATGGATCAGTACAAGTATATTGACATTTTAAATCAAAATTTGAAATCTTCAGCACGAAAATTGACCCTTCATAACGATTTTAAATTATACCAGGACAATGACTCCAAGCACACTGCTTTGAACGTTAGACTCTGGCTGCTGTATAACTGTCCTGAAATAATAAAAGCACCACCACAATCTCCAGACTTATCCCATACAGAATATTTGGCAATCATTGGAATCAAGAATTCGCAAGCACACCATTTCTTCAAAACAACAATTAAAATCAGTGCTTCAAGAAGAATAAAATCACTCCAGA